GCTATCTGCTGTGTATGGATGAAACTTAGTGAGGACTCTGGGCTCCAGCTTCCTTAAAAAGAAGACTGAAAGAGTGCTGGATATGATACGGTGATGATAGTGAAGAGAAACTGAGACACTTGTGGGGAAGTGATGTGCATAGGAATTTTACAAGAGCTGTGGGTGGAGGTGAAAAAGAAGGATATTTTCAGCTACCTGTGGCTATTATGTGCTGTTCCTCTCTCCTCTTCATCCTCAGGTCATGTTCCCATCCTTTCTGCGATGGTATGTTGCTATTGTCATTGGGAAAATAAGACCTAAATATTTTAATTTTTAAGTACTTTTTTTTTTTATCTCAGAAATTAATGAATAGATAGCTGAGCCTAAGAGCTAATTTTAGGAAAATGTAAACAGAATTTTACTGGGGCAGTTTGCTAATAAATTGCTTTCGGAAGGGTCTTTGTCAGATAGATTTCTTTGAATTAAGATGAACTACCCAGTAAAGCAATTTTTGCTTTTAAATGTCAGGGAAAGCTGGAAATTGAGATTGCTCTATTATTCTAGACGTTTTAGAACACTCAATAGACTGTATAGCATTTTCTAGCAGAAATTTTAAAAACTGCAGATTTCAAAGTGAAAAATATAGATAATATAGATCACTGATCATGAAATTGTTTAGCATATGCAGGCAAGTATTGCTGTTGTTTTGTGATCCTCTAATACACAAATAAATCTTCATACGTACAAATATATAAAACATGAAGTTCACCAGGACTTGTGAAATTTGGTGTTGTAATTTGTGTTTGTACAACAAGTAATTTTTTGTCTGCTTAATAGTACATTTTCCAAATAATGGTATCTCCTTTTATGCTGGTTTTTTTGCAAGTGTATTAGGTTTTATTTGTATTGTGGTAGCAAAGGGGTGATATTTGTTACAACACAGTCAAACTGTGTGGGGTTTTTTTTGTTGTTGTTTATAATACTTGTCATGTGTTGTCTTGCATTAAGGGAGATCTGCAGCCCAAGTGTTGGATTTTGTTAATGTAAAAACTTCCCTGTGCCTTAGACCTTTCTTTATTCTCCTGTTTGTAGAGTGTTGTGGAGGGGTTTTGAGCCTTCACTGTCTGCTGTCATAGACAGTATTCTGAAAGAGGATATGGTATGGTTCTGCTACAGTATTTCAGTATTTCTTTCTCTATTACTGTTCGGCATAGTTTAGTTTTTCTTGATGGATGTTTTATTTTTGTTTCTTTGAATATGTAACTTTCTAAGATATTTTGGACCTTTCCACACTGAAGTGCAGGTTGTTGCTGGGTTGGGAATTTGATCAGGAATTTTTTCTCCTGTATATTACCTGTCTATATTAGACTGAATCTGTTCTTGCGTTCACAGGATTGCTGGGCAATTCAGGTTGGAAGCAGCCTTGCGAGGTCTGTAGTCTGACCTCCTGCTCAAAGCAGGGTCAGCTATGAGGTCAGACCAGGTTATGAGGTATTTTATCCGGTCTGGCCTTGAAAATCTTGAAGCAAGGAGACTACAAAATTTCTTTGGGCTATCTGTTTCAGTGCTTGACTGTTCTTAAGGTGAAAATGAGTCATGTTATATCCTGTCTGGACATCTCTTAGTTTCCACTTATGCTCATTGCTCTCCAAAGCTGTGTCTTCTCTAGGCTAAACAAGCCCAGCTCCCTCAGCCTGTCCTCACAGAGCAAGTGTTTTGTCTCTGTGAGCATCCTGGTGGCTTACTGCATCCACTTTATGGATATATTTCTTGCATTGGGGGGCCCAAAACAAGGTGCATTGACCATATCTGGAATAATAAGCACTGAGTAGAGGTGATAATCAGTTCCCTCATCTACTGGCAAGGCTGCTCTTAATAAAGCCTGGGATACTGTTGACCTTTTCTGCGAGGGCACACTGCTGGCCAATGATCAGCTTGCTATCTGCCAAGACCTTTTCCGCAGAACTGTTCCCCAGTCAGTCTCCAGCCTGTGTCATTGCCAGGGCCTCTCAGGTGCAGGGCTTTGTGTTTGTCCTGTTTGAATTCATACAGTTTCTGTAGGATCCATTCCTTCAGCCTGTCTACGTCCATCTGAATGGCAGCCCTGCCCTTGGACATGTTGACTGAACCTCTTCACCCCAGTTAAGTATTATCTTAAAATTCGGACCAGAGTACGCCATAACAGCCCTTCAAGTCATTGGTAAAGTTGTTTAATGGACTTGTCCTGGAGTAGGCCCCTGCAGGACCCCACTTGTTACCAGCCTCCAGGCAGCATACAATGCAGTAACCATTATCCTCTGAACCTGACCAGCCAACTGTTTCCTACCAGTGTAGTTGTTCATTCGTTGTAAAAAGAGATTTATTTTTTTTCCTAGTTCACTAATGCTCAATTTCTTGAAGTTCTTATGTCCTCTTTTAGTGTCTTGATGCATTTTGTTGGCTTTTTTTAGGGTGAGCCTACCAATTAATCTTTACTTTGTGTATTGAACAATTTCTGTATTCATGAGTGTTTTCTCACTCCATGACTAATTTTCTTGGTGAACTTCTCATGAGAAATTCTGTCATTGCCTTTCTCTAAGTTGCACAAAGCCCAGCTCTTTTTTTCACTACTGACATAATTGTACCATATCTTCAGTTTTTGATAATGCAGATTTTGGTCATTTCAGATACTTCTGTCTGCTGTCTGAAATAAAGCTGATTAACACTTCTAAAAGGAGATGGGGTTTTCTACTTGCTTTAAAACAGATTGTGCTTGGACCTACAATCTTCTTGTTTCTAGCTCAGACGATTGTTGTTTTTCACTATTTGCCCACTTCTTTTTAAAATGGTAATTCTGACAGATATGAATGCCAGATGATAATGTGTCTGGAATAGCTATGTCACTAGCATCCTTCATACAAAATTCCACTAAAGCAAAAGTTTTATTGGCAGTACTTCGGCAGTTGCCTTGTCCTGGTGGTGGCCTACTAGATGTTCCAGTTCTAATTCAGATTTCTTGTTTATGATCTAATAAAATAATTTCCTGTTCTTTTCTAAGTTTTTGTTGGTTTTAAAATCATTCTTATTTTATACTTCAGTTTTCATGATCTCTCCTTTTCTACAGCTTGATTAAGTTGAATTTGTATTTTGTATGGGAATATTGTTACTTTAGTGCTATATATTTGCTGTATGTAGTGATTCTTTACTCCCAAGGGCTTTAGTTTATCCTACTTGCCAATACTGGTCACAAACTGTTCCCTTGCTTACTATTCATATGAATTGTACTTGTCTCATACCAGCAACAGGCTAAAATACCTCCTGATTTCAGGTTGTGTAAGAATAACTCTTAAACATTTACGGTCAGTCACAGAACCGTGCTGGTTTGCTACTTGGCCACAAATCAGTAGCTGTTTTACCTGTTGTCACACTTGTGTTTTAACATCTGCAACAACAGAAAAAGTGGAGTGAATACGCTTCTCTTCAGCTAGACAGTTTTTGAGTCCAGATGTTAGAGTTCTTGAGAATCAGATACAGACTGAGGTACAATCTTCAGTGTTTCTGATACAGTGGGAATACATGGATAAAAGTCAGAGGTTTTTTACAAAACTTTAATACAAAGTTTTCTTGCATTCAAACATTGATTTTACATGAAAATATTGTTCTGACTGTGGGTTGCATTGGTACACATTTGCAAATGTGAAATTACCCTACACGTATTTGACTGTCTTCTGGATGTCTTTACCACCTTACAGTACATCAGTTTCTCAGTTCATTTGTGGTTTTGCTTTGGGCTGTGTCTGTGCAGGCAAATAATACAATTTCTGTTATCCTGGTTAGATGTCAATATGCAGATAATAGGGTTTTTGTCAGTATTTTTGACCTGTCAACAGCATCGAGGTACAAATGAGTAAACCTGACTCTTTCGGGGGGAGGGTAGGGGCACAAGGGAAAGTGGGTGCTGGATTTTGGTTTGGTTTGGTTCTGGGGGATTTTTTTTTTTTCTTCAAAGACTGAATAAACCATATTATCTTTACTGACTAAACAGTGCTTCTCTCTTATTTCCAGTTTAATGTAGTGGATCATGGATTTGTTTGTGACTTATGATTTAGTTGCTTTTTTGTATGGCTTGTTGAGTATTGCAGTGTGGCCTGTTTGCTGGCTTCACGTGAAGTAGAGCATTGCTAACTGTATATCTGGACGTTTATATAAAATACTAAGTGCATGTGTTGAATTTTTGTATAAAGAGAATAATATTTTGCTACCTTGCAAGAAATTCTGGCTGAATGAAGAAATTAAGTGAAGAGTGTGTAATTAACTAATCGTCAAATATAATATGATTCTTCTTTCTGGCCAAATAAATTACTGAAAATGTATGCTAAAACTGTATTTTAAAAGCGAACAATTAAACAGAAAACTTCCTTAGTGCCCTTGGAATCTTTTAACGTGTGAGCCAAAGGAAATGCCTACCTTATGTTGTCATTGGAACAGTATCTATTTGAGGTTCCCTTAGGCCTCTTTTTTACCCTGCTCACTAAGCTATGCGTGTGCAGTGAAAGTCTCTTTTTCATATAAAAGTTCTTTTTTGCAAGTAGTACTCTGCTTTCACAGCAGTTTCTGTCTGTGGTTAATAAGTTTCTTTTAAAATTCTGATTTTTCTCCAGAGATGTTGATAGAGGTGACTTTTTTAGTTCCTGCTTTATGTGTAGGGGAGAAGTGGTAGAAGCCACACTTACTCAGAATGACAAAGGAAGTCCATAACAGAGCAAAACTTAGAACATAAATACCCTGACTGATAGTCTTCTGCTATAGCAATTAAGTAATTCTTTTTCCCTTGTAAGATTTTCTGTAGACTGTGCTATAAAATGATACCATAGCAATGGGGTTGGAGATGTACATATGTTGCTAAGAAACTACATGATCTGTTCTAGACCAGCCACTGTGATAAAGTGGCTGTCCTAAGTTGTTGCGTATGGAAAAGGGCCACTTTAGGTGATGTGCATTTTGCTCCACCGATTTCTGACCTGCAATGCTTGCCTTTGCAGATGGAACATGAGGATTTTGTAATGGAGGGGCATGGCAAGACTCCACCTCCTGGTGAAGAAAACAAACAGTGAGTCACACATTTATTTAAAAAGGGCCTTACCATAGTAAATGGTGTGAAGCACTCATGTTTAAATGTGCTGGGAGCGTTGGTTGTTCATTTGGTGCTCGCCCTTTTGGTTCCTTCAATATTTCTATCTAATAGTGGATTGTGGCTGAAAAAATAAAAAGCAGGATGTTGACTTGCCTTAAATTCAAAAGCGTAGAAATATGCATTGCAATTTCAGAAGGTAAATCAGAAGTTGATGTAAAAGGGATAATCATTCTGGAAGCTTGGCACTGAGGTAGTGAGTTTGTACGTGAAGTTTTTATACCGCTCGTCACTGAAATAATGTGAAACATGATAGAACCAGGGCCTTCCTTTTGGTGTGTGTATGGTAGATTGGTCCTCTTTGAAATACGAGCCTTACTTCTTTAGAATGTGTTTTAATAAAGGAACAGAAATGGTGAACAAAATGCTCTTTCAAGGATGAACATTTTTAAGATCCTGGTACGCAGAGCTTTAGGAAAAGAAGCTTGATCAGAGAAGAAAATTACAGATTTCTTAGCAAAAGGCATGTAAAAATGGCTTTTTCATGTGACTTCAAACTGAAATCCAGTAATGGTTGGTGTGTTTTCCTGGGTTTTTGTTCAGATGGGAAGAGCAGAGCCGTGTCCTAGAAGTGTTGCAGTGATGGTTGTCTTCTGTATTCTTTTCTTTAGTTAATGGTAATTCAATTTTAATATCAAAATGAGCATCTGCCACTCAGATTATTGCTGCCCTGCTCTAAAAGGTGAGACCTGCCTTTTGCAGCAAGCAAGATGATGGTCTTTGGGAAATCCACAGCACAGAATTTTTTTTTTCCTATGCCTGATTGGATGTCTCCATGAGAAGGAGAAAGTTCTCGTTGATCAGCAGTACAGTCGTTGCAGGAAGGCTGGGATTTGACTTGGGGTGAAGGTCTTCCTTGCCTTCTAGACAAACTGGCAACCCTAAGTCCACTACCTCTGTGACAGTGAGAGACTGTTTCTGAGGTAGCCAAGATGAATTCAGGAAAGTTCTAGTGCTGAATATGCACATTCTTTCCATCATGGAAGTAAGCCAAACTTCTCAAAGTAATTGCTGCTATTTTGTTTCTATTCAGGCTGCCCAACTTGCTGTGGTACCAAGAGATACAAAGCTTGTTGAAGTAGAAACTTTTAGAAAATTCCTGAAGAAAGATCAGTGCAGAAATAAAAAGTAGGACTTAGATTTCCACTCTTCTGAATTGTTTCGTTAAATATCTAGTCGTATAATGAAACACGTTATTGTAGTGAAGAATACAAGGGGCGTTGTATTGGATTTGTCATAGCCTTGTGTTTGCTGTCTTGTTTTGGGTGCAAGTGGAAGCTAGAATTACTTTACAGTTGACCTGATTTCTAATTAGAGCTTTTCAAATGCCTTACAAAATTATCTCTCTCTTCTGCAAGACTGTGGTTATTAGAAAGAGAATATGAGATTAGTGATAGCCAGGGATTTTGGGTTTTTTATCTAATAAATTTGTGTTTGGGTGGGATCTGGGATTTTGTCATACAGATCCTGCCCTAAGGAGTATAATTCCTAATAATGATTTTAATAATATTTTGATAAAAGTCTAAAGATGCAATTTTAGTAATGCAACTAAGAGATGAAGATACTTGTTTTGTGCAACTGTAGCATAATGCCAGTAAAATTCTATTGTGGGTATTGCGCTTAAATCAATCTCTTGAGATTGTGCGTAGAAATAGATTCAAATTTTCAACTTCCTAACAAAATTGTCTGCCTTGGTAGAGCTTACCTCTTGGTGTAAGTGACATTGATCTGGCATCTGAGATAAATAAATGATAATCACACAAAGGATTGGTAATTGGTATTTGTAACTGACTCCAAAAAGCTGCATTGATTTAAAATTTTTTGCTGTAGATCTCGAGAAAGAGAAGGGAAGAAAGAAATCTGAAATTGCCTCTTTGTGTTATTGCTTACTTGCATTAGGGATTAGTTGAACATCTGGAGTGGGTCTAGTGAAGCACCACAGAGAGAGGCTGTGGAGCACCTGACACAAGAAGCTGAGAGAGTGGGGACTCTTTAGCCTTGAGATGAGCAGACTTGGGGGAGGATCTTATCAATGTGTGTGGATACCCAGTGAGGGGACTAAGAAAGACTGCGCTGAACTCTTCACAGTGGTGGCTGGTGAAGAGGCAAGAGGCAATGTGCACAAACTGAAATACAGAAAACTCCACTCAAACATAAGGGGGGAATGTGGTCAGACCTTTGGAACAGGTTGCCTAGAAAGGTTGTGCTGCCTTCCTTCTTGAAGATACTCAAGACCCAGCTGGACACAACCCCTAGCGTCTTGCTGTAGTTGACCATACTTTGAGGAAAGGGGTGGGATTGACAATCTCTGAGATCCCTTCTGTCTGCAATGATTCTGTGATTCTGTGCACCTGTGTTTACAGTTGTTGTCCTAGTTGGTTTGAAATAAAATTGAAGCTTGGTCGTGAAAAGTAGATCATAAGTTTGACTGTAGAGTCAGACGTTCACTACAGTAGCTGCACTAGCTGAAGGCGCTTTCTTGCCTTTCCAGCTGTTTGTCAGACTAGCTAGAGTTTACCACCTCTACAGCTATGCAGATGGGATTTTTTTTTTGAGTGCTTCTAATTTGCTTTCCTGACAAGTTGGCCATGTTAACTTAATTGTCTTTCATAGGCAGTCTGATCTGGGTAACTCAGTATTGAGATTGTTGAGGGAGAAAGTATTCAAAGATACGGTTTCAGCAACTGACCTGCGAGGGAGCTAACCTGCACCAAAGTCCTGGAGCAGTTTGCAAGTGTTAACCTTCTAGGCAAGCCCAGCAGTTTCTTAATATTTAACTGTATTCCAAGCGACTCAACATTTGAGTGGGCAATGAAAGAACAGAAATTAAAAGATACTTCGAAAGACTTTCAGTAGAAGTAGTAGTTCTTACCTGAATTTCCTTTGCTAAAGTACAGATCAATAGTGGATTCCAAGGAGCCACCCTCCATGGATGACTTCTGGCACTTTATTTCTGAAATGCAACAGAATATTTCAACTCAGTTTGACTTGGGGATAAAAAATTGACATTGCGAGAATACCTTCTACTATTTAAAAAAAAAATAAAATAAAAAAAAATAAAAACCTACAGCACAACCTGCTTCAGTCTCACAAACCTGTCTTTTGCTGTACTGAACAGTTCTTTTGGGCAGACGTATTGTACTAAAGTTGCAACTTTTTAAGATTTTCTGTTTAATTGAACTGCAGATGATACCTGAGACCTGCTGTCAGCTTTGTGGGGAGGAATTATCCTGTTAGACTGTATACAAGATCTTTTAGAAATTTTCAACTGATCATTTACAACGTGAACATAACTGATTTCAATTGAAGCTAATAATAAGAAGAGAAGTTACCCATTCAAAATCCTTTAAGTGAGTGAAATATGGAATGGGCATACTCATCTCAAGTTCTATGAAAGAGTGGCAGTTTATGCATGGTGCCTGTGTCACAAAACTGTCATGGTTGTGCAGGAGTGAGGGCTGCTTCTTACCCTAAAACGTACACTTCAAAAGGTCTAGTCTGCCTGGACTACTGGAACTGATAATGGCCGTCTTGGACCATGCTTCTACTACAGCTGAGGACCAATAGACTCCTTGAGAAATTTTTCCTTCTCAATTTTTAAGTAGTCTGTAAATTCATCTTCCGCTCAGCTCTCTGATATGTGATATAACTGTTTGTTATGCTTGGACACATTATTTTGTTATGTGGCTAATACGCTTGGTAAGAAACCACTTTCCCGCCCTCCTAAAGGAAAAGAGATAGATCAGTATCATTATGCTTAATTTCAGGCAGACGTTTCGTTAGAGGCGTTCTCATATTTTCATCCACTATGAAGAGGTTGACCTGAATTGCCATGCTTAAGGAGTTAAATATTATTTCCCTCAAAAATACTTACATTTTACATGGCAGTAGCTTCTTGCTGCCTTACTGATTGTAATAGGGCTTTCACTTTTTTGCTGCTAGAGCAAAGAGACAACTTTGTTCCAGAAATATCTTTCCAAAACAGTCAAACTTCTGTTGATGAGCAGAGAGCAGCTTCTCTTTGTACCTTTTTTGGGGCAGGAAAAATAATTCTGCTCTAGTCCTTAAACTGAGGTTGTGCTCCTAGTTCTAGCAGTATTAATTAGCAACTCTGCCTGTGCTAATGAATTATCACGAACTGTCACCACCTTGGTCTATTAGTCAAAAGGATTGTGTAATGAAAAACTACTCCTTTTTATAAGAAGAATGTACATGTTTTATTGTTCCTGACTGACATACAGAGAAGTCTGTTTGACAGTAGCTATTCGAACAAAAAGTGAGCCAAGTTGATACTCATATTTACTAGCAAGGTAAGTCAAGTTATTACTGCTGTCTGAAGTAATTAAGCTGGCTGTTCCCCACCTGCTGTTTTGTAGTAATGGGGAGAAAAGTCTTCACCTGTCTTGGCAATTTATACATCTGGAAGTGATTCATACTGTAAGAAAGATGGCAAAACAAGATCACTTCCATAATTTACAAAATGTCCTTGGTTGGACCTACTGGATAGCCTTTTCCCTGTCTTGATAAATTGTGTAGGTTCTGAGGCAAGAATTTTTAATGAGACCTTCCAAAATTTCATTAATGCCAAGAAGAGAAGGCAACCAGTGAGGATCACAACATTGTTTTGAAGTTGGTGATGTTCTCTCATATTGTTCTTTGACATTTCAGCAGGAGTATTCAGTGTCTTCCTGGATTTATGCGACACTACAATTAAAAGAAAGCGGTAGCTAAAATAGTCTAAACTGGAAACAGGAATCATAGACTAATAAAATAATTTAAGTTGGAAAGGATCTGTGGAAGTCATCTCGTCCAACCCCATGCTCAAAGAAGGGCCAGATTTGAAGGTTAGATCTAACTGCTAAGCTATATCAGGCTTCTCAGGATTATTCTAGAGCCCTTCTGGGCAATGTGTTGCAATG